AAGGAGGAATTAGTCAAAGGAATAATGGATTGTTGGGAAACTGTAAATAGAAGAAAGTGTAGTAAATATATCGGACACGTACGTAAAGTAATATCAAAAGTGATTGAATGCAATAATGGAGGTCCCACTGGATAGAAGAAAGTGTAGAAAATATATCGGACACTTACGTAAAGTAATATCGAAAGTGATTGAATGCAATAATGGAGGTCCCACTGGATATTAATATTTGTACATGTACACAGTAGCTCTTTCGATCTTCCTCTTTCCTTATAAATGTAACATCACATACATGTAATCTATGCTAACAGACTTGTACATTACAGATTGCATGCACTTATAACTCTCTTCTATACCCCTCCCAATCCTTCTCCCTCCCACATGTATTATAATAATTAAAAGCAAAGTATATCTTTTATTCATTGTATATCTTTTGCATCTTTATATCATTATATCTAATATATAATATATATACATGTATATCAACAGTGTCACTGTGTTAGACTATTTATTATCTTATATGATACTATACTCAGTGTAGCCTTCTACTCTAGATTCTTAATGTCAGGTGGATATTTGCTTCTAAGCCCTGAAGAGTAATGATTTATTGCTTGAATACACTTAGACAAATACAGCTAAAATTCTTCCCTTGTACTAATATCACGTGGATGGAATAATCCCAGTAGCTTCTGCTTCAGCTCCATTAGAGCACCAGATGGCAAAGGAGGGTTCTCCTTCTGCCTATACACACTACGTTTAATCAAAAGTGATGGTCCAAAGTAAACTTTGCTAGCTAGTCTTACAGATGATTGTCCAACTTGAGAGAGTGTCTTTAGTTTGGGATATTTATTAATCACAGTATCAGGATTCAACAAAGGAGCATTAAAATCTATTTTCCTTCTATTACCAGTGTGCACAGTAGTATTGGTGATGATTGCCTTTACTGGCTCATTAGTTGGAGTTACTGGATCAGTATGCTGAGGTAGATTACAAGCAGATGGGGCACTAGGTGTACTTCCATTACTGTTCATGTATGTAGCAAAGTACCTGCCTAGAATATTAATAGGATATTACTAATCTCTAATAATTATTACTGAATACTAACCCTTGTGTTCATGCTAGTATTTCCAAAGAAATGGTATGTTAAGCAACCCAATTGGGATGGCACCATGATACTCTGTTCTTCTAAAATTTCCATTCTTCTAATTAGAGACAGTATATAACCTCTAAACAAAACAACATTAATTGTTTGTGATAATCAAGTAATATGTTATTAATGTTACTAAATTTGTACAGGTACTTGTAAAACAATTCACCTGTTTCAGTACTACATGCTGCCTGAGTTTTAAGCTCCACCAGTGCAAGTGGTGGTGGAAGTGGTGGAGGGCTATGACAAAGAATTCTTTCACTGGAATCTGCCTCTTTTCTCTCTGAAGGTTTTCTTGCTTCTAATAATAACAAGTAAAACAATAGTAATAATTATTATTATATTTAATCTTACCGATACTAATATGCTTAGAAGGATCTCCAGTGTTGAAGCTTGTTGCTTCATTATTTGCAGCAGATTCATTATTTGTAGCACAACCAACAGCAACAATATTAACTGTGCATTTCTGTTTTGTGTTTTTATAATAAATTACCTTTGTAATGCATTATGTACCTTCACCTTCCTTTCCTTTTTCTATTTTAGGTTTCTTTATTCGGTGGTACCTACATGTAGATGTGAATTTACATGTGGGGTTAGTAATACTATATACCATCTCACTTTTCTTAGCTTTCCTTTTTATTGAGCCACGCTTTGTAGTCTGACTCATTCTTCATACTCTCAGCTGACTGTTTCACCATATTCTTGGCTGACTCTTTCTCCAAATTCTCCGCTGACTCTTTCTCAATCTTCTCAATAATATCACCTGCTGCATTACTTACATCTTTCTTATCTCCTAGAAAATTATATGTGCAGCTATTGACTAAAAATTAAAGTACAGTGTTGCCAAAGGTGACTATTGTGCCTTCATGAAAGTCCTTTCCATCCCTTACTCTGCAGGAGGTACCAGCTTCCAGCTGCTCAACTTCTACACAGTTTGCTTTCACAATAGAATAAGTATCCTCTTGCTTAAAGTATTTCAAAAAGTAAGAAGCTACATTTAAAATAGTAACAAGACTCCTAAACATGTCTTTAACTTACGATTTGTCTTCTTCTGGGTGTCTTTTATCAGCTTTCTAAGACTCATTTCTACTCGTTTCCACTGAGTCGTAACCGGGCTGGTGCAAATTAATGCGCATGCGCAGTATTGAGTAGCGCATGCGCAGCACATCAGTAGAGTAGAGTAGCACAGGAGTAAAGAAAGCAAAGCTGCTCGTTACTACTACCGTTTTGATTCGCATGAGCTGTGTAGGAAGAAAAGTGCAGTTTGTAGGAACTACTCTGCGCTACTTAGCTTTTTTTCTCTCTAAACTGTACCTACGCAACAGTAGAGTAGCTACTTATCTTTTTTTGCCCTGTACTGTATATAAATGAAAGCCTATTAGGGGCTCTTTCACATGCAGGATCATTGCCATATAACACTGCATTAGGATTAAATTTAAAACTGCACAGAATACATGTATGTATGTAGACAGAAATGATAAGAAGAAATGTAAAGACGAATACATTTTTGTAAAAAATGTCATAACTATTTACAAAAAATAAAACAATTAAGTTGACTCAATACATTTAACCTTATGTTTCAGTTCTTTGTTAATGGGAATGTTTAACGTTTCTAACACTTAAAGAACAGTGGTTATGTAATCAAATATGAGACAGAATTGCAAATGCATTATTTTAATAGCCATCAAGTCTCTGGTATCAACAAAAAGCTGTTTCTAAACGAAAAGATATCACTAGTTCATCAGGTGAATTTTTTAAAATCTACTGGCAGATTAAATTTACCAAAAACTACAGTATTTTCTTTGTAACTTTCTTCCCTCACTAGACAGCAAAAAAGACAACCACATAAGGTATAGTTCCATAATTTTGATGCAATGCTCAAAATTTAAAATACAATATGAATTACAAAACTAACTTTAACGGAGGTTTTAAAATGACATGCATGAATAATCTATTGTTCCCATGGTACATGTATGCATAAGAAAGTATACCAAAACTGCCAGAGTACAGCTACTGCATACCAGAATATAAATCATTTAAAATGTGCAATTAGAAATTAAATGGATAGTGCCTGAGGTTAGCTAAAGTGACAGATATTTTTGGCAAAATCATTGAAATTACTGATATAAAGATCCAGACCAGGGGTCAATTACAAAAGCTCAATTATATTTACGCATTCAATTACACTCCTTTAGCAAGAAGAGGTTCAATTACAATTACAGTTACACCATGACAGTGTAATTTCAATTACATTTTCAATTACAATTACAACTTGATGTTAACAAGATACTTTGCAGTGCTTACACTGTGGCTTAAAATTTACATCAGGTAGTGATTTGCAGTTATCAAATAAACCCATACACACTAGTGTACATTAAAAACATTTCTTTGTGTATCTGTACATTCTGTAGTTAGTTAAATCAAATATAACTGAAACTTCAATTACGTAAGCTGAAGCTCAATTACAATTACACAACTGTAATTGTAATTGATCCTTAAATTATAATTACAATTGTAATTGACCCCAGGTCTGAAAAGATCACATTACAGTAGTTCTTTAAAATTATGGTGATTATCACTAAGTAGCCATTTTTACATCCTAATATTCATTCCAAAATTAATCTACAAATATAAATAGCCAGCCATTAGAAGGACATAACCCTGTCCGCTCCTTGTACAAATACATTTTACTTCTTTTTTACACTGGATGATCCTTAATTACACTGGATCAATCACTTTTGAAGTTTTTTTGCACACTTCAAGAAAAATTTTATCAACAATACTCAAAATTTCTAAAAGTAGGAAATATCTAAAAGTAAAGTAGGACCATTATGTAGGAAGGAAATAGTGCATTTGAACACTATTTTTTAAAATCATGGTGGTAAAATCATGGTGGTATCAAAAGTAAACTTAATCATGGTGGTATCAAAAGTCAGACACTCCTTAAAACATTATCTATTAGGTAGGAGATTGCCAAAATAGGCACAATAGAAGTAACTAGTTTTGAGTCAAAATGCATGCAATTTCTGCTTAATTAATGTACTTTAAATGTATTTTAAATAGGTGCTCACTAAAAATTATTGAAGAGGAACTTACATGCACAACAGGCAATGGTACGTCGACTCTAGAAACAGTGACACAGGAATCACAATCTTTTAATTTCATTTCTCTTCTCTAAGGAAGGAAAGAAATAATAAAATAGCAAAGATACGTTTCTCAACAACTGCAACACTCTTGGCTAAAAATAAACCATTACAGATTGCACTAGAGACCTTTGCATAACAAACAGGGTGCTTATATAAGATATCATTAAATAAAAGAAATCCATGATTATAGAGGATAAAAATAGTGCTATTTCTTTCCTACATAATGGTGTGACTAGGCACATTATACACATTATACAATTTGACCTATCTATATAGGCAGAAATTAGTGCCAAGCACTATTTTGTCCCCAAAATACTAT